AGCGCACCGCAGAACGGCGGCCCACAGCCTCCCGTATCAATGGGTTCAACGACGGAGAGGGGGGAATATAGACGTTCCGCCGTTGGGGGAGTACTCCGCTTGGAGGGCACTAGAGTGGAAACTGCGAATAAACGGAAGATATTCATCCGGGAAAGCACGCGGAAGAGCTTGAAGCATAAAGAAGGCGTAGAAACCATTGCTCACCGTTCTATATAGTCCCCTCCTTGAAAGCAATTACTTCACTCGCAGCGAAGCCGGAGAAAGCATCTGTAGAGTATGGGACCCGTATCAGTATCTGACCGAACGAATGGGACAAATAGACAAAGGATCAGACGAAATGGCACTGGCAAGTACACTGTGCGCTCCCGTAGAACGCGGTCTGTTGCGAACAGACACCTCTATTCCTCGGCATGGTCGTATAGGACGGGGAAGAGAATAAAGTCATCTCGAAAGAGACGACAAAGGAGACTCGCTCACTCACCTACAAAGACAAATCCGACCTGCCCTAAATGCCGCCTTACCTTCTGAATTGCAGCTTTAATGCTGTGTGCTGCGCTGGGGTTCCCTTTGATTTTCTCCGCGGTCTTGGGCTCGAGAACGACAAATGCCAGTGGCACCTCCCCGCTATATTCGTCCGGTACGCCAACTACGCAGACGTCGGCGACGTCGGGGTGGCCCAGGAGGTGGCCTTCAAGTTCAGCCGGCGCGACTTGGAATCCTCGGACTTTGATAAGTTCCTGTTATACCGTCAGGATTATTCCAGTCCACAGGATATACGTACATACTTTGATGCGGTCGACAACGAACAGGTCGCCATCATGTTTAATGAGGACCTCATCACCGGTCCTTACCCATCGCTTGCCGTCGATTTCGAGGAAAGTCTCCCTCGTTCTAACGAACCCCAGACATGACTCTCCTCTGTACGATACGGTCGAGAAAGGACTCACGCTTTGTCATCCTTGTAATACCCCAAAGTTACCTGTGGACCAGAGACTACGAGCTCCCCCGTTTCTCCGGCCTTTGCCAATGAGCCGTCTGGTTTGACTACGCGGGCGACAGTCCCGGGAACGAGCCGGCCAGCAGCGCCCGATCTCCCAACCTTCTGCCCTCTAGGCAGTATACACAGCGCCGTGGAAGTCTCCGTCAGGCCTGGATTCAAAGAGGAAAAGTCAGTGACTCTCCTTCAGCCTCAGCGGTTGCTTCACCCACCGTAGCCTTGACCGATAAAAGCTTGTGGGAAAGCGGCGGCGAGTTGTTCGATCAGTTCAGGCGCCAGCGGGGCGGCTCCACTCATTATAGCACGGACATGGCTGAGATCGTACTTCTTCACAATTGGGTGCTACATGTAGTTGGATGTCATATGCAGGGGTGAGTCTGCGAGACTGAGCCTCCTTACCTTGCACAACAAGAGGAGCATCGGCGGAACGAGGCTATCAGACGTCAGGTCCATCACTAAGTTGAAGGTGGTAAAAAAGCAAGCTCACACGAGGTGCGTCATGCGGAATCGTACGATGCTGGTGAGCATCTCTGCGAAGTTAAACTTTGGCATAATCACCACCGTGATCTGACTCCTGCTTGAGATGCGAGATCGAGAAATCCACACGTATACTCACGCCCGAAAATAACATGAAGTGCAGCTGGCAATGCGCGAGCTAAGCGACACGCTCATTGATTACGATGGAACACTTACATTTAAGACCAATCCGTATATATCTGTTGCAATAGTCAACGATATATGTGCATGCATCAGGACCTTGGTACGCACGGAACAAAGGCAAAACTGGATCCAAAATTCAGAATGACATACCGCGGTAGCATAAGTTCCAAACATACCACCGGTTGTAACATCACCGGGTCCGAATACCTTGTCACCCGAAGGGATATTCGGATCATAGGCTCTATATACGGCGGCAACCTGGATCGCATTGGCAATAACAGCATAGTGCGGTACCATGACAGCCTAATCAAAGAGTTGGTCGCCATAGATTATGGTAAGATTCACGACAAAACGCCTACCTTCGCTTTGCCCGTGGTTCCACTCGAGAAGCTGAAGAATGCGGTCTTCGTCTTCGCTTCACCTGGCTTCAGATGGCGCTCTTTGAATTTTGATTTGTGTTTTGCGCCTTCCTTCTCCAAGTCCGCTACAGTTGCATGACCCTGGTGCGAAGGAACATCAAGAATGATAACACGTCCGTGCGGTATCCCAGCCTCGGCGGCAGCCGCGAGGGCTGTCTTCAATAAAGCTGAGTGGGCAATCATCAGATGACTACTGGTGGTCTGCACTTGATGGCTGAGCTCTTCTGTGGTGTACATAGGATTGGCGGCCCTAGCTTCATATAAGTGAGTAATGCATGGTGTATGTGGTATCTTCATACGTGATTATACCACCCAAGCGATGAACTGCCCATATCAGAATGGGCGTATCTGGAGAATACGTAGATATCTTCGATAGCCATTTACGTGAAGATCCAGTTAAGTCTTACCTATATGGTTAGGAGCAAATATACAGACTGAGAGCGCCTAAGTCCAAGGCTCCCGTCCCAGAAGAGTGATTTCAGGTCTTACCAACAGTGCCCTCGCCTAGAGGGGGTCAGAGATGTCAACTGGGTTATACGGGCGCTTATAAGCTCACCTACGCCATATCTGCTACTCAAAGCATTGGCCAGAGCATCCGTCTTGATACGTATCTAAGATAGCCATGGGCCCTCTACATGAGCGTAGACCTAGAGGTTTACACGGCCCTATGTTGCTTCTAACCTCTTTCAGACCGATTGCCTTTCCAGTACCATCTTCTATGAGCCAAGGCGCACCCTCCTTGTGCATCTGTTTCGCTGGATGCCCAGCATCCAGGAAGAACTGGGGGATGGTCAGGTCGTCCGGTATGTGGGGTAGGGACCCCTCCGAGGACACAAATTCTGTCATGGAGGCGGTTGGCCAGAGGGAATTCCAATGGAGCACTCAATTTAAGGTCCCATCTGTCGGATGAACGCAGTCCAACGTGTTCTCGGCGACCAATCGGGGAGAAGGCGCTGGGCAATGTAGGAAGTCCGATGTATGCATATGGTGAAAAGATACGTAATACTAGTAATCCAGTATGCCTTTCTCGAAGGTAGACCAGATCTCTTCACGATACCGCAGGTCTCTAAGCCAGCGATCGGGATGATTTACTTATGCGTGTCGCCTCGACAATGGTTAGGAGTGCCCACTGTACACGGCCAGGGGTCGGCCACTTCTCGGGAGAGGCGGACATTCACTTTTGTCGACTCGGGCTCCAACCCTGAGATCTCAAAGGAGACAAAGCACTAGCGCTAGCTCCATAACTAGACGACACGTACTCGAGGGCACTACTGTCTAAGCTCGGATTGCTGTGAGTACACAGGTCGAGGAATGGCACAGATTGGATCCAGAAATGGTCGTACAAGGTTTACTTCCGGAAAGTCGCACGGTCGTTATTAGGTTCGAGTTCCACCTTGGAAGGTTGAAATTTGGCTCGAATCCTGTACGCAAGCTGCGCGATTGGCGTCTAATCACATCGCATGCCATACATGGCCGAGGATAGCTCAGAAGCTATGCAGGATGGCCTCATAAAAGAGGCTCGAGCGCGGTGGTTCAGTCAAACATCCTCGCAATGTCGACTCTCAAGGAGACCGTATTCATAACTCGGCCAACGCTCTGCTTCCTGTCGGCCTCGTTCGTGCTATGTCTGCTCGGGGTAACGCCTAGGCCTTCATTCTTACCCCTTGCCCTTCTTCTCGCATGCTTGCGTCTGTATGGCCGCATAATCGCCTGCCGTGAAGGAGCCAATGCAAAGTTTCGCAATACCTGGCTGGTATTAACCGCTGCAGTTGTACTATCGCATGCCGGACCTGCGATACATGCCCTATCGACTCCCGCCACATCTATCATCTTTCTGACGCTTTGTGCGGCTACGACATCTGCGATTGCTCTGGGCGTCATTTTCTTAGACATCAGGCTGAGTTCCAGGACGAAGTCACCCTGGTCCCAGCTCACGTTGTTCCCCGCCCTATGGTCGTCGGTATGGGCAATGTTAGCTCATACCAGCCCCGTCGGGAGGTTGGCAACGTGGAGTCCGATCACTGGAAATTTCCTCTATCTGTGGACAACTCATCTATTCGGTTCCATTGCCATCGATTGGCTGACCGGTGCATGGTCGGTCGTCATCACAGAGACGGTGGGCGACTGGTTCATTGGCTCCGTACCAACTGTGGTCATCACGAACAGAGATAGCGAAGTCGATGACCTCCTGGGTCCTCGCAATCCTGCCAAGGATCAGTCTCCCATGCCGTCCATCCGGAGGTCACATTATGTACTAGGCTTGTTCGGCATTCTTGTGGCACTCACAGCACCGTCGTACATATCCCCTGCATTGCCCCTTGCCCCATACTCATCAGACACTACACCGGTCACAGTCGCCTGCGTTCTTCCTCCCCGCCACAAGTGGAAGAATGGCCCTCCTGGGCTGGATGATTTCATTACGGAATCGCAGCGCCTCACTGCAGCCAAGATTCTGCTGTGGCCCGAGGGAGCCGTGCGGTTCGATACTTTCCAGGCGAAGGCAGAAGCCATCGAAAAAGTGCGAGCAAAGGTCTCGTTCACGAACCATTGGGTTGGCATGAGTTTCGAGGAAGTAATGCCTTTCAATGGCATCAATGGATCTGCCATTGAACGAAGAAATGGCTTCGTGCTCGTCGATAAGACTGGTCCGGTCATGGAGTACTATAAGCGTCACCTTGTACCAGGTAAGCCTTGACATTGCTTCTCTCGTATCTAAGAGTCTTATGATGTGGCGTCTCATAGTCGCGGAGTCATTCTCCATGAGCCCCGCGTCGGACCCGCCCACCATATATACTCTACCTCTTACAAGACCGAAGGATTTCACTAAAGCCGAGTGGGGCAATCTCACGCGGCCCATACCCGTTACTGCGTCAATCTGTCTGGATTTCTCCGACGCAGACGCCTTCTCCGCGCTCCCCTCGAAGCCTGCGCTCATCCTCGCCCCGGCACGCACCTGGGAGATCTCCGTCGGCCTCTCCATGTTCGAGCAGGCCAAAGCACGCGCAGCGGAGATTGACAGCATGGTCCTGTGGTGCGATGGGGGTGAGGGTGGTGTCAGCGGGGTCGTGGGCCGCGGTATCAGCGAGGTAATGCAGGTTGGGCAGGGCTCATGGATGCGGACCATTGGCATTCAGTATCCCTTCGACGATAGGAAGACATTCTACATGAAGGGAGGTGAGGGGATGGCTTTAATGGGTATGTGGGTGTTGTCACTGGCAGGCATGGGCTCGGTTGGCCGCCTTGTTACCACTCGGCTTGCCAACTGGCGCTCGGCGGGACGATCGGGTGAAGAGGCGCCCCTATTAGGATGAGATAAACCTGACGATACCCCTCACCCCCACAGCTCAAGTTTTGAAATTTGAGGGCTGATACGAATGTTCCATAGGGCTCACATATTATCGCTGTAAGGCTGCTTTCCGAGGACCTTGCTGTCCCATTCAGGAGCTTTTGATACAATAAAAGACAATCAGGTTCGTGCAGGCTGTAGGTCCACGTGTGCCCGCATGTACGAGGCTGCACAATGTATACGTAGCGGTTATGAATCGAAGTTTGCAGGAGACCTGCCTGACCCGGAGTAAGGACGCTGTCAGATTATTTTTTATACGCCGATTCTCGAAAATTCATTATAGACCATGTCGGCTTGCCTCGAGGCAGGACTTCATGTACACTTTCCCGAAAACACGAGGCTTTTAAAGTGGACCCTGGATCCAGGAGTATGCTTCCCCCATTGACTGCGATACGTACGACCTGACCGACAGTCCACGCCCATCTCGCGAGTAGCAAGCTTACCGAGGATATATTGGCCGGCTTGTCTTTCGTTTCCCTCCAGGTCCGCGATACTAGGGCCTTCGGGATACAACGTCGTCATCCAAAGATCTTCCGTCGAGACTCGCTCGAAGCCTCCGCGGCTCTCTGCGCATCCCGACCCCTACCGTTACCAAACCCAAGCGCAGTTCATCTCGCTTCCTCGCCTTTGGCAGGTCGATCAATAGGCCGCCACGAAGCGCGGCTGTAGACGCCGAAAAGCCTGAGCCCGTGGAGTGGACAGACGATTTCCAGCTGATATCGTACGAAGATTTGTCTCTGAAGTACGAGGGTGACTTCCCCGTCAAGGATAGTGCCCATTGTTCTTGCGATTCTCCCAGTCCGATTGTCCTAGTCCCCGAGACCACCACCGCACCTGTCTCTCCCGCGACACCCATCAGCCCTCCGAATTCCCTCGCTTCCTTTCATTCAGCCGAATCATCGCAGCATCGTCCCGTCTGTGATCAGACGGAGTCTCCCACCTCAGACACCAAGGATCGTGTCCGGCGTTCCATCGACGAACTCGACGACCTCCCAAGTATCCTCAACTTTGCTCGACCTCTAAGCTACCTAAGCAAAAGACAATCCGTGGTCAGCGAAGTGGTGTCGCCTGTAGAAGACGACAATTCGATATTCTTCGATCCGGACCCCTTCCGAGTCAACTCTTCACACGGACGTGGGGAATCTTGCCCTAGCGTATTTGGAGAGTTTATATACATCGAGGAAGCAGACGCGCTATCATCGATCCCCGACTTCGAGCATAGCAGGGCGACAAATCGCGCCCTAACTCGCTTCCGGACTTTGACACGGGCGTCCCTCGGCAAATCCTTCCGTAGGAGGAGCACCAGCAGGAGTACCAGGAGACCAAGCTTCCTTGCCGCCACCTTCGTGCTTTCTGACCCGTCATCCAAACCCCTCCCGCCGACACCTTGCGAACGAGCCCTCCCATCTATCCCCGCCGATATTATCCCTATATCCTCTCCATTCAACCCTCCCGAAGACCTTGTACCAGGCACGGTCAGAACCCGCGTGCTTCTGCGCTGTGTTAGTCCAGAGCCTTCTCCCGAATCACCCGCCAGTCCCGAATCCGTATACTCAGATCCTCCGTCACCTTCTTGGCTGCCTATAAGTAGACGGCTATCTACCATCCCCGCCTCACCACTGCCATTACCTATTCCGCCGCCTCGGTCAAGCCAGTGCCTGGCATAGGTAGGTCAGAGCTTGTCGTGCGCGTACGGTGGTGCTTACTCGAGTCTCACAGATCGTCACTGCGTTGCAACACCCTTCGCCATCGTCTGCTGAAGCCTCTGACACTGGTTTTTATTTGATTTAATCCATTATCACTATGCCGTCGCCTGTGAACGCCCACGGTAAAGTAGCCGATAATATAGACTATGGAATCCCTATCGATTATACTGGGTATGAATGGTTCAAGGACCCACCCCCACCTCGCGAGGTATGCTCCTTGTCGACGCGTATGTGCGCGTGATCTAAGCGGAATTAGCAGGAACCGCCGCAAAGCATGCCTCCCACTGCTACTGAGCCGTACATACCACTGCCGGGCGTCGTCGAGCAGAACGAGATGTTCATGACCGCATTACAAGCAGCACCACACGTTCTCTACGCACGCTTCAAGCAGTATGGCCAGGTGAGGACGCCTGGCATTTTTGTACACGCTACATGTTAGCCTGACACTTCTTACAGCTAGGGGTGCTTGCCTGGTGTTCCGAATTCAGCGAAATGATCGATAATCTCAAGCAACTTGGTTTCGAGGGGAACATGTTTGTCAACACGCGGGCGCAAGCTCTAAAGACATGCGAAGATATCTTGAAGATGAAGTTGGACATCAAGATGCAGATTATCGTCATGTACTTGTCGTCACAAATCATGCGCCTGCGACGATTCTTGGACGGTGACAAGCAGTGGGATGATTATCCAGAGCCTAATTTCCCCGTGGATCCTCGAGCGTATTATAGTAATAATTGACGTGGTTCCCTTTCGTTTCTTATTCACCATGGCGTTGCTGTTTTTATGGGCAATACTCTGTTCTTCTATTACTGGGTAGGATGTCACGTCGCGCTGTAAACTCTCTTGCACTCCTCATATGTCTATTTGTATCTCAACTGTACCATCTGTAGCACTTAACCAAGCTAATGTATTGTACCTTGTGCACAAAAGTGAAGTGAAGCGTCACAAGCGACGGCAATAAGATAGAAAGAACAGCGAGGAACAAACGAATGAAGAGCCACGAAATATGAAAGCGGGTAGCTGCTACTTACAACCTAGGCCTGATTGCGAAGCTAATAGAACAGTATTGTGCTGGTTTTGCAGAGCGTGGTCTAAGTTAGATGTCCATAATATGCGCAGAAAGAAAAACTTGTACAAGGGTATTCGATCAATGTGCGGCTGTCAATCCAGCATACTTGTTCCAGTATTCGGGCGATGCAGGACCATCAGACAAGCCGGCCGGGAGAGGAGCGGGTTGGTAATTAGCCTCACGAGGGGGCTCAGGCAAGGGGTTTGCATTCGAGTTTGATGACCGCCGTGGTGGAGAGACGGTATCTTGGTAAGAACGATAGTTATTAGGATAATCATAGCTGGGGGATCGGCGGTGAGAAGACTGGACATGCGCAGGATAGACAATCGGTGCGGGAGGCACCGCATATACAGCAGGCGAGGATGCAGACGCCTGGAACGAGTTCTGAACGACCACGGACGTGTGACTGGAACCATGGCCCGTACTGTGCAGAGTCTGGGACCGACCTACGTGCCCTTGTCTGCTGCTGTCGCGATGTACAGAGGGGGTTGCTTGACTCAAAACTGCCTTCGGGCTATCGAAGTCCCAACTCCTACCCTTATATAAGCGATCCATCTCCCAAGCTTCCCGTGCCCTAAAGTTTTCGAAGTCGTCCACCGACTGCACGTCAGACGTCGGGCGAGGAACCGATTGTGAAGGACGCCTGTGTACATCGGGTACACCGCTGTTGCCAGGAGCAGGCTTATGCGGTCTAACGTCTGTGGGCGACGCATGCCTCCCATTGGAGACCCTTTTGTCGGGAGAAGTATGGCGTTCCCGGCGCTCACCTAGCGAACGGTCTTCCCTCTGATTCAAGAGTTGTTCAGGGATAGCCGGGCGTCGAGAGCCTTCGACACTACGAGCGCGACTGTGAGACGTCGATGGGCCTGCAACTACGATCGGAGAGACGTCCTGTCTTCCGCTGGATGACTTGTACCGCTCTCGACTCTCGCTTGCACGGGGACGTTGATCAACCGTCTCCTGCCGCTCACGATTACGACTCGACTTGCGGTCCAAATGCTCCTGTTCGCTGGACCTCGTCCGTTCCTTCGTGCGACTCTTATGTGGTGTATCATTAGTCTCTACAATTTCCCACATCTCTCCGTCGGCCCTGATAGTTTCGGAGGCGGGGTGAACAGTCCCGGATGGGCTCCGGACAAGCCTGAACGTCTCAGTCTGCCTGCTCTTCGTAGGAGACTTCTCCTTCCCTTTTGTCGGAGATGTGTCCCGTTGAGTCGCAGTACGCACAGTCTCAGCAGACTTCATACCCGTGCTACTCGATGCAATTGGCTCCACTACCTGAGGCACTACGCCTGGGGTATTCGGTATTTCAGGAAGCTCAGCATTAGACGGCATTTGCGGCGTCGGAGGATTGGCAATGATGGATGCTCTGGAAAGGGGCGAATCATCTGTAGAGATGAACGGTAAAGTAGATATAGGTGGAGGTGGAGGGAGATATTCGTCCTGTTCCAGCACCCGCGGCCGGCTCGAACTCCCTGCCCCTGGTTCTGGCTTTGCAGCAGACGCAGGTCTATGCTCCTCCTGCCTAACTTCATGCGAATGCACTATGATCGGGTGCCCTTCGCGTACCTTGGAGGGAGTCTGGGCTGCAGGAAGAAGAGCGTCGCCGTGTCTACCCGAAGAAGGGTGTGCCATGGACACAGGCACTATCGCTGGGGAGTGGGGAGCAGATGCGGGTGCCAGGACCTCCTTCCGACTATTCGAGCTCGATTCATGGGAACCAATGACTGCACGGGATGGCGTTTCAGCAACTTGCGAAACCTGAACGACCTCGTGAGCGCTATCGCGTACTTGCGCGGTCTCCTGAATTGGCTCGGGTTCGCTGACGAATTCATCCCGCTCAAGGATCTGGCCTACAGTCGCTGGTTGCTGATCGTGGCGAGGGGATACCACCACGTCTTTCTCCGGAGGTAGCGGGACTTCTGTCCGGGCAGGAGAAGCAGGGCTTGCCGTATTAGCATCTGGGTTCGCAATAGTCAACTTGCCCATAGAATAAGGGGCCTCCATGACGGACCCGCGGTCGCTATGAACATGCTCATCCTGCCTGTGCCCTGGCTCAGGAGGAGGAGAAGATGCCGGTCCTTGCACGTCATGAGGCGTTTCGAGCGAGGGAGGAGGAACCCGTTTGCTGATACCGGAACTCCGTCGCTCTTGCATAAAAGGTCTTTCAGGTGGCGGACTACCGTTGTTCTTTGCAGATAACTCTCCATGATTGGAGTCGTCCACGCTACTCCTCCTGTTCGGATGTCGCCGGACAACCGTGAATCGCTTCGCCAAAGCGCCAAAAATACTTCCCCGCTTCTTGTTAGTATCGTGTGTGGAGACAGACGGTGGCCTCGCAGACGGCGTAGGCGAAGGTGACTGATTGACCGGTAAGCTTGGCCCACGCTTTGACAGTTTCCGCACGAGACGAGCGTTCCCATTCGCAGGGGGCGGTACCAAATGGGAAGACCCGTGGGCAGGATGGTCGACAGGCGTAGCAGGTGCAGACACTACAAAGCGCGCCTCCTCGTTGTCATCGTCCTTACTCCCTGCGAAGAAGTTTTTGATTCCTGGTCTACGACGCTTACTCAGCCTACGCCCGACACTGCCATTAGCTTCAGGAGGCTGGAGGTGGAGCGCGGAAGTCGATTGAGACAAAGGGGAAGGAATGACAGATCGATGGCGCGTCGGGGCAGTAGACATACTCGACATACGAGACCGCGACTTGAGAGGACCCTGTGTTACACATCAATCTCGGCCATGTTATACGATGGAGATATTCACCTCGGGGGCATCCACCGCGACCGGACTAGGGGTCATACCCACGTCGTAAGGAGACTCGTGGTGCCAGTGCGAACCCCATGGATCTGTCACGTCGAGTAGATCCACGTTATCGTGCGCGGTTTGCGACGTCTTGCGTGTGCGGACACGCATGCCGGTTTCATTAATTCTCACCTGCGACGAGTTGGGCGTCGGCAAAGGTGAGCCTGACGGCGTTCGGCTGGGCCCAGGGGCCCAGGCGGCGTCCTCGGAGGCTTCAGGCGGCGTCATTGGGGGAAATGAGGGTGAAAAGACGGAAGGAGGGCGCATAGACGGTTCCAGTTCGGAGGGAGGGATGAGATGATAGTTCTTGTAGTATTTAGGGCCCACGGGATTGTGTATAGGGAACTTAACCCGGAATTGTATGGCAGAGGCTGCTATCCATTCCAGATCTTGATTATACCAAGCTGGCAGTTCGGGGAGCTCCTCAGGCATAATTGAGAGGCTAGCAAACGTATTTCCTCCCCGCGACCGGTATCCTTCCGCAACATATCTATCCATCTCTCCTAGCGTCTGGTTGCTGGAATCGGTTTCCCTCGCTCTTGGATGCTCAGGCGTCACAGGCGATACAGCGTCCGGGTCTTTCTTGGGATTTTTCCGAGAAAAGAGGGAGTTTCTGGACTTCGAGCGTGAAGCCTTCATGCGACCATCCTGCTTGTCCATGGCAGTAGAGAGGGGACTGCCAGCATCTGCTGTAGAGTGTGTGGTATCGGGCAGGGAGCTGCCCTGGAAATGAAGAAGTTGCAGTGATCAGTTCTCGGCTAAAGGGAATAGAAGAACATTGACACGCGACGACACGCGGTGACAGACTCGCCTCTCGGTGCTGTTCATAGTCTTCAAACGCTTCTGCTGCGTGCAGCGCGTTGTTCAACATTGCTGCCATTGTCGTAGACCGGCCATAAGGGCGCCATCTAAGCACAGACTTTAAACAACTGCTAGCTATGTCTAGTCTGGTCTACTCGGTGATGCACTAGCTGCGACTTTCTGGGCAAGTGCAACACGTGCGCCAGCTGACCTGCCTTTATCGTCGCCCAGTATACTGGTCTGGACGGTTCGACTAACTAGGCGATGTGTTCTGTCTCTCGAGGGCTACTGCAGGAAAGCACTGAGTGCCTGTCTGTCGTCGGAGGATTTTGCGTCCGCGTTTAAAGACCTTCAGGACCAGAGGCTACCCATGCGGATAGAGTGTCGGGTACTTTGCGCCGAGACAAGTCAGGACTCAGAAACCGCGTTGTTACATCGCATGCGTCCTGTCTCGTGGACAGGACTACGAAGCCCCGACTGGCCGGGATACATTACAACGAATTACAGTCAGCTAATTTACATTCGGAGGGGAAGTCCGTGATGTATGTAGTACTACAGCTATTGTGCCTGATAATCATATAGGAATACAACCAGCGCCCACGACAAGCATAAGGGGATCATAGTGCAATCACCATACCGTGATTATTGTAGCCGAAGTCCGCTAACACCCTCGCCAGCACCGTCAACCTCCCGCCGGTCTTCTTCTCCGCGTCTCCTTGACATTGCTCTCATGATGGGACTCGACAAGGCCATTGAAGTACGCATAGTAGGACTAGATGCAATGCTGGCACTGCCGAGGCCGTTCGACCGGGGAATCGGTATGGGCTGGGACATGACGGGTGAAGACGCCATGGAGCTTGTGTTTGAGTTCGGGATAGAGATCGGGATGGGAATGGGAGTGCGTGATGGTGTTACAGAGGAACGGTGCCCCAGGCTCGGCGAAAGCATTGGCTGGTGGTCGCGCAAGTGCGAGATTGAGGGCGACACTGCACGTCTTTTCGCACTTGTAGGATATGGATCGAAACGGTCATCGACTGTACAGGGCGAATAAAGATAAGCAGAGGAGATATCGAGGATAAGCAACACTGCGTACGTTTTCTCTTATTCGTTCGCATAGCACTCGTGGTTGGAGGGGGTGTGTATCTCCATTGCGAAAGACTTGAGATGACGGACGGAGATCCATATGGCTAGGCAAAGCTAAAGGTCAGTGACATACTTGCATGGAGCATCGTAGGGACTATACCATGTCCACATCCATGGCTGCCCCGGGACTGTCCATCCACAACTCGTCTCCGTTTATACTGTGTGCAGGAGTGGTCGGTTTAGATAGGGAAATCGGTTCACTCAAGGACGGAGCGAAGGCAAATGTTGCATCCTCGTCGCCATCATCACTCGGAGTATCCTCGCGCTGAAGTTCGTCTCCACCGACTTCCTCTGGATATCTTCCGCTGTCTGAAGTGCCTTTCGGCGTCTTTGGCAGAGTTGGATTCACAGAGCAGGAGGCAAGGAGACGCTGGAATTGTGCTTCGGACTTTACTTCGGTCTCCTCAGGCTTCGGTTCCGCCTGCAAACTTAATATGCGAGGTTGCTTGAGCTGCGACAAGCCATCAGTTTGCTATCCCTTAGCAAGATTATTGTTCGAGCGTACCGGTTGAGATAGGCGACGCAAGTGCAAGCCCTTTGATAGCTCTCGCAGATCCACGGCTCTCGGAGGCGTTGATGGTCTGCGCGACAGAGTACCTTTCATATGATTCTCATTCTCTGCGCTGACGTCGGACTCCGACTTGCTCAGGGATGGCAGGGGCGGGGTCACGTTTTCCGACGAAACTGAACTGTCGGTCCACATCCTCTCCCGCTCACTCTCGGACTCCGCTTCTGACGTGCCAGCCTGGCTCCCTTTCCGAGATAATGGAACAGTGAAGGAGCTTGCAAGAGGACTGTGAAGCCGCGACTCTGAATAGTAGGCTTTCGGGGCGAGCAGGCTCGGTCTACGCAGACGCAGCATGAGTGATGGGACTGTTCCATCGGGGCTGGGTGAATGCGACGATGCCGAGGGGAGGTCGAAGTCCGACGATGAGGTTGGCAGTGATGGACGCGATGTCTCTGACATGTTGGTCGGCGGGGGCTGCTGGGGGGCGCGCTCATAGACGAGAGGGACGAGTGCGAGGGAAATGGAGGAAACCCGGCCACAACCTCGGATAGCTTCATCACATACACTTGCCTCTTTCGGAAAGTCTGATCGCTACCGGCGGTACCAAAAATAGCCTTTCGCATTCTTTCATACCAGGCCTTGCGTTCGCCTCACTTTGCACTTGCGCCAGCTCTGTGCGTCAGCGCAGCTATACTCACGGCATATATTGGATACCGCGTCTACTAGGCTTCTTCACTATGAGCTCTCAGAAGTTAACGAAGAAACAGAAGAAAGCGATCGCTTTTCGCGAGCGGAAGGGCAAAGGCAAAGCTCAGGCGTCTCTAGACGATGGAAGCAACGACATCCCGGTTCAGGAGGACCAGGAACTCGCTAGCCTACAAGCTGCTGATGTGGAACGTGAGGAAAAGCATACGCGACACAAAGACGACCATCCAGCAGCAGCTGGCCCAGGCGGGGAACTGGTTGGCAAAGCTAGGAAAAGGAAACGCGAGCAAGACGCGGAAGGAAAATCAAAAGAAACAGAAGGCCAAGCAGAGCAAGAAGAAGGCGCCCAAACGCCGGCCAAGAAAAAGAGAAGGGCAAGCAAAGGCGTCGAAGAAGGCAAAGGAAAGGCGGAATCGGACGCCCAAGAGAAAGACCTGAAGAAAGAGAAGGCGAGATACATCCTGTTTGTCGGTCAGTAGTGTGTACGTTGGCCTCGTCCCGTGCGCTGTAACTGCTGTATAGGTAATCTCAAATATACCACCTCCTATGAAGCGATCCGAGAGCACTTCTCTGTCTGCGGTACATGCCCACAAATGCTTGGCTAAGATGATTTGCTCATACTCCATACCACTAGACCCCCCTCCAACCATCCGTCTGCTAACGCCCAAGTCCAAGAATGGTCCCCAGCCATCGACCGCGAAGTCCAAAGGATGCGCTTTCCTCGAGTTCCCAAGTAAGAACAGTCTCCAGCAGGCATTGAAGTTACACCATTCTACGCTCGATGGTCGCAAAATCAACGTCGAGCTCACGGCCGGCGGTGGGGGAAAGAGCGAGCAGCGCCTGAATAAGTTGAAGCAGCGAAACAAGGAGTTGGAAGCTCAGAGAGTAAGCCTCAACGAAAATCTATCCTTACCCGCACTGACTTTCTGTCTCTACCGTAGAAGAAAAGGCTAGAGAAGAAGAAAACTGACCAGACCGAAGCTCCCGCAGATGAATCGGCGCAAGGCGCGCGGTTTTCCTCCACGTCGGGTGTTGGAGATGCACCGGGCAGTACACGCACATGGACAGTAGGCGACGATGCCGGGGACAGGAAAAAGCGTAAGCGGGGCAGTAAGCAGAAGAGTGGTGCCAAGCGACCCAGCTTCCTGGCCACCGGAGTCAATGCTATCCCAGTCGGATGACAGTTCCACCTCATGTTTCCCTCGGCTTGGACAGAGATCTACACAGTGCAGCCAAATCAGACGATACTATATCCGGGATATAATGGTATACAAAAGTCTGGTGAACTGTAGGTCCAGCCTTGACAGTCCGTTATGATACAAGAATGAATATCAAAAACTACGGATACTCGCGGTGAGCCAACGATGAACAGGCGCGGATCGCTGAGGACTCACGAATACTATCAGAACCCCGAATATTTTGAGCATTAGCCATCGATTGCTGGATATGCTAGCATAATACTTCAGCAATTCTCGCTGAGCACCGCTGACGTTTGAGGCAATGTCTACAGTATCCGCGTCAATGCGTTGGACGGTTTCTCGTTGCTCCGCGACCATTTGAGCTAGCTGAGTAAAGATTTGGCCTAGTTCAGCAATGGTTGCTTCCACAGTCTCGATGGCTGTCGACCGTTGCTGGATGTAGGTATCCTATGGGAGGCCGCATAAGCTTAAGCGAAAGGGAGAGCGGGCGGCAGTCATACCTGCTGCTCCACCAACTGCATCTGCATGAACGCTCCTCCGTCATTTTGTCCTCCCATGCCTTCCTCCGCCGAGCCCAAGTCCAAAGCAAGAAGGTCGCCATTCTGGTGGGCCCGGCCTTTGCCCTTCATGCTCGACCGGCCTAAACTGCCGTCTCCCATGGGGTCTGGTTGCCGGTTTCCGAATAATAATGAATCTGTCGCAGACGGTCAACGGGATGAGCCACAGCGTCCATAGTAGAGATCCTACTTGAAGGGGCTGGATTGGCCGCCGCTGCTGTTGCATGCGTAAACTGTTCCTGTCTGTCTCGCGACTCCTTCATATTCTGCGTCCGAATCTCCAGGACGTCCTTGAACGTCATGCTAGTGTTTGCAAGCTTGCTCTGCAGGAGCATGACAACATTGTTGTTGTGCTCCTCGACTTGCTTCGCTGCTGGAGATTTCGCTGCCTGCCCTTGTCTTTGCTTCACGTATGATTGCAGCGACGCTATCTGCCTATTGATGTTCGCAATGTCTTGTTTGATGATATGGGTCAATTCCTGTAGTCGATGGTAGATCAGGTAATGTCGCAGGGCACCATGCGTAAACGACTCACACTAATCTCGACCGGCCGATCATCAAAGAGGGTCTTCCTCTTAGCCACTCCAGTACACGCATTCAGGTCAACACCTGCCGGGCCGATGTACATGCTGCTGCGACTCACATTGCGCGAGTTTCCCTAGCTTGACGGTCGTACTCGAGATATCCTTCCCAATAGCAGCAGCCATCCTCGAAAACTCGCTCTTGTCCCCCCGCTTCGCATTTCCGTTCAGCAGGCGCTGCTTCGCCTCCGCATTCCTGGACGGCAGGGAGGATCTATTGCGTATGGACTCTACGCACGCGCGGAATTCGTTTGTGCGGTCCTGGACGGGCATGGCGTTAAGAATCTAGGCGCCAGATTTTGTATTGATTAAGGGTAGTTAGAGTACAAGTGAAGTGTTGTGAACGAAGCGGTAAGGTACGGCGGCAAGGGTGTCCCAGTAATGCTGCGTTGGAGGTCCTACCTCAGAGCCACGTGACCCATACACGTCTGCATTTAGCAACTCCACGGGCGCTAACGAACCTAAATACAAGACTTCGCAGCCTCCTCTACCACGACCATTACAACTATTCGCGTACTCTATTGGTATCTAGACTTTGCTCTTCAGGCGTTGCATGCTCCGGAGGGCACTTCGCTCTTTCACAGGGCCGACCGTCCACTCCCTCTACTTCCGCACTAATCCGTTCATCCATCGATTCTCTCGCAGGTTAACGCGGAACGCCAATCTAGCAACTCGCGTGTTCCCCCATAATCCTAACCTCACAATGCCCGTTGCCGATGGAGCTCACCCAAAATGCAAAGTTCTCGTCCTGGGCGCAGGGAACTTTGGGAGCTGTCTCGCCGATCACTTAGGGGACTCAGAACACGAAGTCTTCCTGTGGTCCCGTTCCGCGGAACTTGTCGCAAAGTTTAACGAGACGCACCGCAATCCTGAATGTCTGCAAGATCACGTCTTTCCTGAGACTATCAAGGCCATAGGTCCCGAGTTGCCCTCAGCAGACGTCATCAAGAATATGGACGTGTTGCTTTTCGCCATCCCGACGGAGGGTGTAAGGTAGCTCCAGAAGTCACTCTTTGTGGCCTTGCTTTGTGATGTTTACGCTGTGCAGAGCAACTCTCACAGATTTACGACCCAGGTTAGACGAGGAACAGCTGCCGCTGTTAATATTCGTCAACAAAGGTATTGAGATTGCTACGCGCTCCCTGACTCTGGAGATCATCGCGGACACTTGCGGGATCAAGATCGCCACAGTCGCAACGTTCATCGTGGGTGCAACATTCTGGCTCGATCCTCGAGATAATAACCTACCTTGGTGTATATTAATGCCAGTCAGGGCCTTCGTTCGCGAAAGAAAGTGAGAAGCACGTTCGGGCCATATTCCGGTAATCTGCGAATTGAGACCATACGACAGTTGTCCGCCGACAGCCTACATCTGTCTCAGTGGCCTCTTTGTCGGAGTCACATGCCGAGAAGGCGTCTCGAGTGTTCCATCAGCCTTGGTTCAGATGGTAAGCGCACATTCAGCATTACATTGAATCCAAAGCCTATAGTCCATCACCGAAGTTACACTGGAGGGGATCCTGTCGGGATTGAGCTGGCCGGAGCACTGAAGAACGTATATGCCATCGCTACCGGCGTATCTGACGGCCTCGGCTTCGAGAACAATACGAGAGCCAGTGAGTCCATTCTTTCAGTTCAGTTCTCCATTATTCCGGTAGATCATGATATGATTCAGTGCTTATTACACGGTGCCTATCCGAGATGACCAGGATAGGCGCGGCATACGGAGCATCACCCCTCACGTTCCTGTCGCTAGCCGGCGTGGGCGACCTATTCCTCACGTGCAGTTCACCGACTAGTCGAAACTACACGGTTGGCTACCGGCTGGGAAAGGGGGAAAAGCTAGAGGACATAATACGGACTCTCGGGAGCGTGGCCGAGGGCGTTACCACGACAAAAGCACTCAGGAAAGTGATTGACGAGCTGGGGGTGGATGCGCCGATTGCAACAGCGGTGAGTGCTCGCGACGCCGTCGGGCAAGCGTGACGCAGATCCGGTCGTCATCATCAAAGCTGACCAACGAGTAATCAGGTGTATGGGATACTGTACGAAGGTGAGCCGAAAAATTCCGGAAGTGTTATTTTCAAGCCATCGATTAGTGGCTTACCGTACGGCGCCGGTTCTTCTATCAGGCAAAGATCTGCAGGGTACGGTTCGAGGCCTCATGAGTCTCCCGCCCTTGCGGGAACTCGACCTGCCTGCGCAGGCTGGAGGGCCTGTGAAGCGGCTGATGCAGAAATTAGGCTTGAGCGCGTAGAATACACATCGTAGTTGGATCTCACAGGAAGCACCTGATTATAATTATGGATCGGATTTACCTCCGGAGATGTCGGAATGGGCGGGCCCGAGAGCAATCACCGGCGGCAGCGACCTTCCAAATGGAGGAGTAAGCCTTCGGCATAGCCGGGGCAGATAATATTACGTAATCGATCGCTAAGAGATCTTTCCACGCAAATTTCTTGGGCGAGTGGCTGGAACTTGCGGATTGGCCAACGAACAAAAGTCATTACCGGTTCTCTGAATTCCTATCGCTTTCTCTCGTCCTCCACGCCGCCTGTCTCCTGTTTCTCGAGGGCTTTGCTTTACTCTGCACATTCTAGCCGCTTCAGTTCTCTGGATAATGGTCTCCCCGCTCTGGAAGGCTTGCTCGGAGGGTGACCTCGAAAACGTCCTCGAATTCCTTAAATCCGCCTCTAGCATCGATATCGAGATCAAAGGTACGTGTGGGCGTCCATAATATGCTCGAGAAATAAATTGTGAGTCTCAATATATTCTCTGCTCATTGCGAACAGATCATACCGGAGCAACGCCTCTCATTGAAGCCGTCAAAAATGGTCACACGGAGATTGTTAGGATTCTCCTTGATCGAGGTGGGTTTGAATGGTCGTTCCATGCGCGAGTATATCTTTAACGCATCTCCGTAGGCGCCGATCCGTCAAACGCGTCGAGCCACGGTTTACCTGAGCAGTTTACCACCGACGAGACCATCTTGGAACTGATCAAGAATGCGCAAAATAAACTCACTCAAAATGCTCCCGTGCCTCCCGAGTATCCTCAGGACCCTAATGCTGAGACCGCTAAGCAGTACTACCCTCCTCCTCCAGGACCCTACTATTATCCCGGCATGCACCCCGTCCCGCCACTGCCCGAGGGCGCTTTGGCATACTATCCGCCAATGCCTCCCCAGTCTGCGCCAGGTGAATCTCCCACTGGCAACGGAAACAATCTTCCGCCCCCGGAGATCGCACGGATGATTCCTTGCAGATATTACCCCGCCTGCCGTTACGGTGCTTCTTGTATGTTTGCTCATCCGCAAGGCCCGTACTACCAAGGTCCGCCAGCGCAGTATCCCGCTCCTTACGATCCCACGATGCACTATCCTTCCAATTATTATGTAGTTCCCCCTTCGTTCCCCCCTCCCAACGGTGCTCCCATGAGCCCTACGTCGCCGCAAGCAGGGCCACAACCAAATCCACCTCATCCTTCTATGGGCCACGGTAGGTCGAGCTCTGAGCTTATATCTCCGGTGCAAGGCCACTTCAGTCCCCCGAGTATGCCACCACCGATGCCCTATGGTGCCGTCTCTCCTCTATCTCCTGCTTATCCCCACCCCGGAGCCGTGCCCATCCCTGTGTCTATTCCGCCGCTACCTCCTCTCAATCATTCTGTACCACCACCGCATGGAGCTCAGTCTCCTCCTGCTATGTATCAAAATGCTCCGCCCAACGGCTCCTTTGCTGTCCGTCCTGATGCTGTAGCTTTCCCTCCGCACCAAATCCCCCCGCCGCACCCAGTGGGTGAGCAGAACGGCGGGCCGAAATCTCCTACAATGCCTCCCCAGGCGGACGGATATCCGCAACCTCCCGTACACCGTGAAGGCATGTCCCATCACCGTCGGGGAAGCTTGCGCAAGCCGTCCTTCGGCGGAAGCCGGAAACCACCGTGTTTGTTCTTCCCATCCGGTAGGTGCAGAAATGGGTAAGTTGGTTCCACTGTATCATAGCCGTCAGTCTCCATAATGCATTTTTCGTATCGCAGGGACGAATGTCGTTTCCCGCACGTCCTTCCTGATAGTACTGGGTTCCAACAAAACTACCCTCACTTCCCAGGACCTCTGCCGAGAGGCCCTCCCAGGCCTCGTCACCTTTCTAATGCCGCCAATGGCGTCGGAAGTATCGAGGCGAAGATGGCGGATATGACCGTTCGCGACGTGAGTGACAGTTCTAGCCCTTGTATCGACTCTGCCTCTGATCACAACACATAGGATGCAATCAATCACCATGCACGTTCACAGTCAACAGTTGAGCCCCTCAATCGTGGGCGACCGCTGAACGGGGCCAGGGGAGGAGCCCCGCCAGGACCCATACCTCGAGTCGAACGGCGAGTTGGCTTAAAACAACGGCTGCCTAGCGCGGATGAATTCCCTGCTCTTGCAGGAGCCACGACGCCCCCGAAGCAGAGCCCCGGACTGAATGGCCACAACGGCCTTAATGGTCCTACCGCTGCGCAAGTGTTGCAAGCTCCTCCTCCCGCTCGGAAGGACACTCCCCGGGAGTCGCTATCCAGCAACTCGTCGGAGAGAGGGGGATCCGTGAAGTCTGACAAGGTACAGTGCTAGGGTGCCGTCCTTGTGGTATAGCCTGACTGATTGTTCATAGGACTCTAAGCCTGCCGAAGTCAATGGGAACGCAACTGACGTTGTCAATGGCATCGTTAACGGCATTTCTCATGACTCGCCAGCCAAAAAGCTTCCTGTTTCCTTTGCTGCTGCGGCTACCGCCAGTCCAGTGTCAGCTGCCCACGATGCCTCCAAGGAGGTCAGCGTCTCTGCGTGATAGCCTGGGCTGTCTGTCGCTTGGTATTGATCTCGCTCTTACCTTTATTCTTGCTGCGACTCCGCGCTCCGCACATCCTCGCGTATATCTACTCCTATCGCATATCTTGCTTCCCTGGTTTCCTCCGCACTTCACCTGGACTCTGCTTTGCCGTCCATCCAACATCTGCATCTCATCGCCATTCACGTACCGTGTGCAATTTCTCTTGGTTCATATGAGCGCCTCCTAGATCTTGGTTTACTTACTGTTTGTCTGCCTATTGCCACTCACTGCAAGCATTTATCCCTGCACAGTACATCTCGATATTATGTGTCATTATACCTCTCACATGTGCCGTATTATGCTGTTCTACCAAGAGTCATCCCCTTTCACAGGTCTTTTCCTCTGTGACCCTCGCTATCATGAGCGCGTCCATGACTGTAGATTTCGCATTTCAACGCCCTTCCCGGAGACGATTTCACCGATGACGTGCGCAGCCGCTGAGCCTGAATCTCGCAAAGAGGCTACGACCCGATTGATGCTGCCCTTGTCAACGACGAGGACCATGCCGATCCCGTTATTGAAGGTGCGGCACATCTCTAGCGGTTCAATATTTCCTTGCTGCATGACAAACTGGAAAACCGGGGGCAGTGGCCACGCTGAAGCGTCAATATAGCATCCACAGTTATCTGGAAGGACCCGGGGAATATTTTCAATGAAGCCGCCTCCCGTGATATGTGACATGGCTTTGATGAGGCCCTGCTGCGCAGCTGGGAGGACTTGCTTGATGTAAATCCTCGTCGGCTCCAGCAAGGCACGGCCTAGCGTAATGTCGTTCTGCCAGGGGCATGGTGACGAATAGGTCAGTCCTGCCAGGGATATCGTCTTTCGGACTAGAGAAAAGCCGTTCGAATGCAGTCCTGACGAAGCCAGGCCAAGAAGGACGTCGCCGGGTTTGATATCTGGCTGGGGTAGCAGGAGGCTTCGTTCCACTGCACCTACAGCGAAGCCAGCCAGGTCATAGTCACCTAAGAAGCTCAGCGTTGAGAAAAATAAAGAAAGGGAGGACTGCATACGACCGACCTTCCTGGTACATGCCAGGCATTTCTGCCGTCTCGCCACCGATAAGAGCGCACCCGGCCTGCCGGCAGCCCTCCGCGATACCCTTCACGACGTCGGCAGCTGTAGGGACATCCAACTTGCTGCATCCGTAGTAATCCAGGAAGTATAACGGCTCCGCTCCTTGCACTAACAAGTCATTTACGGACATGGCGACAAGGTCGATGCCTGCCGCCTTCAATGTCAATATGAATTGGGTATCGATTGACTGTGAGACTCACCAACGAGGTCATGAATGCCGGTCTCGATCGCAATTTTTAGCTTCGTGCCCACACCGTCGGTGCCGCTAACAAGGATGGGATCTTTGTAGCCGGCTGCTTTGAGATCGAAGACGCCTCCGAAGCCCCCGATCTCTGCGTCGGCGCCTGGCCGACGCGTGGAGCGGACGAATGGCTTTATCTTGTCAACGAGGGCATTGCCCGCGTCAACTGACACGCCCGCCTGAGCGTATGTCAAGCCTTTTGGCGTGCTATCGCTTTGGGAGCTCAAGGCACTATCCACCTACCATGAGACTCCATTGATGCATGCCGGCTCGGGGAAACAGGCTCACCGATGTGCGATGTCCCTCCTGAAAGTCTTACCTTCGAAATTGACGCTCTCCACGCCGACATACACCGCGTGCAGCGCCTCGCGCAAGGTAGGCGCGTACGCCGATACGGCAATCACCCGGCCGCCGGAGGTTACTATGCCCTCGCCGTCCTTCGCCTGGGTAGTCCCGGCATGGAAAACAACCGTATCTGACGGGATCGGAACGGATTACGCCGAGTCCTGCGCGTGAGTGGGGGAAGATGAGACTGACTCGAAGGCACGTCGCCGACGACGATGCGTTTTCCTTTTGCGTAATCTCCTGGGTAGCCTTGCGAGGCGAGGACAACGGATACGGCGAACCCTGGGCATACGCCGATCGTGACCGAGTCCAGGCGGTGCTCTGCGCACGCCTGGTCGCGTTTGGGTCAGCCGGTGCTCGGGATGTCCCGGAAGCAAACGTACCAGAAGGACGGCTGCAAGGTCGGTGTCTTGACTAAGGAGGAGCATTAGTGCTTCGGTCTCGGGGTCACCGAACCTGACATTGTATTCAAGGACTCTGGGCCCTGCCTCAGTCAACATGAAGCCGGTGAACAGCATGCCGACAAATGGGAAACCTAAAGTAGAACAGATTAGAACGTGCAAGATGCACCTAAAGCGCCGGCATGCCTTCTTTCCGCATCCCATCAATGGTGGGTTTTAAAGTCTCCTTCATGATACGTTCCATGACGGAGGATGTGGCGACGGGCGCGGGAGCATATGCTCCCATACCACCGGTATTTGGTCCCGTGTCGCCTTCACCGATGCGCTTGTGGTCTTGTGCCGCTGGCAAAGGGACGATGGTGTAGCCATCTGAGAACGCCAGGACTGATATCTCTGGTCCGGTCAGCAGTTCTTCAACGACGACCTCGTCTCCTGCAAAAAAATTTTATTGGGGCTTCGAGCGAGCCACCCAGCAGACACCGACGAACCTGCTTTCCCGAACACACTGCTGACCATGATATCCTTCAGACCGGCGACCGCATCGTCCACCGTTTCTGGTATCAGAACGCCCTTACCAGCAGCCAGTCCGCTAGCTTTGAGTACTACGCGGTGGCCGCATGTCTTGACATATTCAATGGCGTTCTCGACTTGTGACGCAGGGAACACTTTGTACGCAGCGGTGGGGATAGAGTGTCTAGCCATGAAATCTTTGGCAAAGGCCTTGGATCCCTCCATGCGTGCTGCTAGCGCGCTGGGGCCGAATACGGGGATGCCGACTGCATTCAATTATATATCATTTGTTGAGTACACTTGGTCCTACACGTATGGGAGTCACCTTTACGGAAATACGACTCGACGCCATCGACAAGGGGTTGTTCTGGTCCTGGGACCACCAAGCTCACCTGAGAGCGCAGGTCACTTCACACTGCGAAGATCGGGTCCTGCAGGAAGACTCGGACCTGGTTTTCAACTGCAAACTTGACCAGCGCCGCAAAATCCGAGGACGAAATGTCCACGTTGGCGGTCTTGGGACATTGCGATGTTCCGCCGTTTCCTGGACAGACGAAGATGTCTTGTACGAGTTGCGACTGCGAGAGTTTCCAGGCCAGCGCATGTTCCCTCCCGCCGCTGCCCAGTATAAGAATACGCAAAGCTGAGGCAGACATCGTAGCACAAAGGCAACCCTTCGAGACCGTCCGACGCGATAAAGAGATAAAATCGAGATAGAAATTTAAGAAATGAAATCTCGATCACTGTGGGACCCCGGGTACCGCCACTTCGGGCTTCTGGCGCGCATCAGCGTGATTGAACGCGGTGCAGCCAACTCTGTCCTGCGACGTTGCCCAGAGAACTGGAAATGGCTTTGTTCTTACGTTAGACGGTCATCAGGAATCCCCCCAGCTGACTGCTCATGCGTTCAGATATTACAGACTGGGCCGTCGTGCCCGCATGAACCCTATTCATTCTTACTGCTCTGACGTCGGTCTGGTTGAGATGCCCGTATAACAAGGAGGCGCTGCAGGACGGGTCGCCTCAAGGCCTGTTGTAGTTCCCCTACATCCCGGCCCACCAGTTGTCGTCAAATCAGCCATGTTCACTCAGGTTTCCGTCCTTGCGGTCGCCGCCGTCGCAGGCGCAGGCGTCATCCGCCAGATCCCAGCGTAAGTCAACAACGAGCGCCCCATACAGTACAGTTGTTTCTAATCCCCTTCTTTGCGCACAGAACGACCGTGACCCTCACCAACGACTGCGGTTACCAAGTGGACCCGGCCTTCTTCCCCCAGGTCTTAGAGGGAAGCACCTCCACCGGCGGATTCCCTCTCGCTGCGGGAGCCAGTCAGACTGTCACGCTCCCCAGCGACTGGAGTGGACGTCTCTGGGGACGCACCGGCTGCAACGCTGCAGGCGTGTGCGCTACCGGTAGCTGCCCCTCCGGTGGAGAGAACTGCACCTCGCCCGCTCCCACTGGACCGACACTGGCCCAATTCACGATTAACGGGTGGATATTTCTGAATGTTTGTCTCTGGATATACCCATGTCTGACCACTGGCTCTGGACAGGTATGCCGGCTACGACTATTTCAACCCGACTTCAGATGATAATTTCAACATTCCGCTGACTATCGAGCCCGGGACTGGATGTGAGTCTCTCCGGGCTGTTAGTAATCTGTGAGAGTTTCGTGCTGATATTGGCATTCTAGGCTCCATCGCTCCGGTAGGGTGTACTGATGCAAACGGCGATGGCAATGGCTGCGGGGCTACAAGCGCCTGCCCCACCGGCACTGACTATACCATCGTATTTTGTTGAGCGTTAGCTATGGTATGACTTTACGACTCTGACAACAGGACATTGTCGCGAAAATGAAATCCAGCTGTATTATTTCGAGAGCTGTATATACCTCCCCACGTGAAGAATAGTGGTGCAAATGTGATAAAATAAATAGCATGAACAGTATTATTGTAACATAATATTAAGCTCTTCATTAGAGGCCCGCCACTAAGTACTCTACCGTCGTATACGCGGCACTGAACAAAAGGCCTAGGAATCGACCATCAGCCTATAGTCAAAGAACTCATAGCAGAACAGGTTCGTACCTAGCTGCGCTAAGTAGAATAAGGCTCCACCGCTGGTATTGCGCTGGAATAAAAAGTGTAAGTCTTTCGTAAGAACCTAAAGACTCAGGGCGTGGCGTACCCTCTCTGGGTCACCGGTCGCATATCCAATTGTGTACAGGACCCGGGCAAAGGACCACGCTCCGCAGAGGGACGCCGCAAGAATAGGCCGCTTCAGGCCCACGAGGATGGTACTGATCAGAACTATAGGCAGTTGTTCCAGGGTATTCTGGTGGGCGCCTGCATTCAGATTAGGGCGCAAATTAAGCTGTAGGTGGTAGCTAGGAGCTCACGCTGAGCGCAGTTGAAGCGATGCGCTTCCTTAGACGCTTGTGCCTCCGCTTTTTCAGCATAGACTGCAGCACGCGGCGGTCAGCTCACAACTCATCCCAGCTCGTAACATTACATACGCTGGGGATACGGGATGCGTGCAGCTTTCCTAGCAAAGCCGGCTTTGTACGATTGCCATGTCAAGAGACATACGTTCGAGAATATAGCGGCTGCAACGTAGGAGATGCTACAAGCGGCGGGTCAGCATCAGGCGAAGAGTCCAGAAAATTGTGCAGGAGAACAAGTAGAACTACTGACCCTTGGGGGACGACGATCGTGCTATAACCAGACATTGTGAATATCGATCAATACTGAAAGGAAGCTTGTGTACTAGTAACTGGGGCGGTGGATATGACCGGAGCGTACGATATGCAAACAGTTATATACTTTACGGAGAGGCAGAGCCATTGCCTAACAAGCTATGGCCGCGCAGGCATGTCCGGGACGCGTCATGCGCTTTTGACGTGGATACGCGTACTCATATACCGGTAAGTCGGGATTACGGTGACGTGTAAATAGAGACTGCATCTGCGGACGGGAGTCAAAGTTGACGTTGCCGTTCAAGACGGAACAGCGCAGCACCGGTGAATGACTCTGTGCGCTTTGGACGCACGCGTACGCCGCTAGCCCGGCACCTTCTCAGGTTTTAACTTCTTAGCGTCGTTTTCCTTATAGCAGCCGTGGGAACTTCAGGAGCTTCCGATCGCGATCGCAAGTGCGCAATGTGGCTGTGCGAGCACACGTGCCTGAGATCTTTGCTTCGCGATTCCCTTCCTGTCCAAAAATTTCGAAGCCATTACAGAGTCCCAATCAGCATGTCCAAGCGTACGGTTACCGAGGTCACGGCAGCCTCTACGAGCAGCAGCGAGCCGTACTCAAAAGTCGCCGTGAATGGGGATAAGCGGAAACATGAAGGGGCCGACGAGATGGGCGAGTTCGAGGATGCCTGGGAGGACGAGATCGAGAGCGATGAGGATGCGGTGGATGGCGGTGAAGATGGTATATCCTGTTTTCCATCTATCCACGGAATCTGCTCAGAGTATAGACCTGATTTTCTAAAGGTATGGACGTCGACCAGGTCATGCCCGCCATAGAGGACACCGAGGACCAGCCTGCCCCTGCGAAAGACGTTTACATTCCGGGAACGCATGTCTTGGGAGAAGACGAAGTTCTGGAACCGGATGACTCTGTCTACGAGATGCGGCATAGCTTGAAAGTTTACTGGCCATGTCTTTCCTTCGATGTGCTACGGGATAATTTGGGCGACGAACGGCAGCGGTACCCTGCTACTGCTTACATTGTGTCGGGCACTCAGGCGGATACGGCAAAAAATAACGAAGTGGTGGTGTACAAGTTGAGCTCATTGCATCGGACACAGAAGGATGAAGGTATGTAGTGATTTGTGGGAAGAAATCCCAGATCTCATCCTCCACCACAGAAGACTCGGACGATGAGAATGACGACGATGAGGATCTAGATGAAGACCCTGTACTAGAGTTCCGCACTATCCCACATCATGGCGGCGTGAACCGAGTGCGAGCGCAGCCGTTACCTCCGTCAACACCCCTCCCTCCAGTCTCTCAGCCATACTACACTGCAACATGGGCCGAGACGGGCAAGGTTCACGTATGGGACATTCGCCCGCTCATCGAATCATTGGATACGCCTGGTTATACCATTGACAAGTCACGCTCGCACACGCCGGCGTATACTGTCAATTCGCACGGCCGCGCGGAGGGCTTTGCCATGGACTGGGCGTCGAGTGGGAGCGGGAGCTCCGGCCTGCGACTTTTGACTGGCGACGTCCAGTCCAAGATATACCTCACGACAGTGACTCCGTCCGGGTTCAACACGTTCGCACAGCCATTTACCTCTCATACGTCCAGCGTGGAAGATCTTCAATGGAGTCCGTCAGAGCCTACCGTCTTCGCGTCCTGTTCCGCAGACCAGAGCGTGCAGATCTGGGATGTAAGGAGTAAAGGAAGGAAGAGTATTGCTGGGATCGAGGCTGCGCACGAAAGTGACGTTAATGTGATCAGTTGGAACCGGAGCACAAGCTACCTACTACTCAGCGGTGGAGATGAGGGCGGCATAAAAGTGTGGGATCTGAGAAATGTGCAAAAGAAAGGGTAGGTCTCAAGGATATTTTGAGCCGCTTCGCCATGCTCACGAGTTTGGTCTCGTAGGTCATCCACTCCGGCACCTAGTCCAGTTGCTTCCTTCTCATGGCACAAAGCCCCCATAACGTCAATCGAATGGCACCCCACCGAGGACTCCATTTTCGCCGCCTCGGGAGCTGACGACCAGGTCACGTTGTGGGACCTCGCCGTCGAGCAAGATGACGAGCAAGATATGGACACAACCGAAAACCAAAGCAGGGAAGTACCCCCGCAACTCCTATTCGTGCATCAAGGACAGAGGGACGTGAAGGAGGTCCACTGGCATCCGCAGATACCAGGCGCCGTTATTAGTACAGCATTGGATGGATTCAATATCTTCAAGACAATCTCTGTATGATGACGGGTGGCTATTATATACGACTGAGCAGCGGTCCGAATCTAACAGAGGGAATTCCAAAATGATAATGAACTCCAAGGATAAGAGGAGGAAACAGCCCTACTCGTTAAGATCTAGGGTGAGCCGTCGGTCCTCTAGTATAACCCGCTGGAGTTATTTCCCTTCGGCGACCGTAGCTGCACAGAGCGTAAGTCTCGGAGACGGGGGAAATCAGTGGATGTATAAGACTGTTTTACCTTAGCGATATTCTTGTGGATAATGTCGGTCAATACTGCGTATATGTTCCGGACATCTAATAAGTCCTGGCGAGCGCAGTATAGTTGTTTATCATCGTGCTCCTTCAGCGCCAGCTACGGGGTAGGGAGAAAGGTGAGTGACATTCTCGCGGGTAATTAACACTCGCAGCATACCGAGTAATCCTGCACATTGGGATATTTAATGAGCTTCGAGCAGATCTTCGCGCGGTCGAGGTAGTCTCGCCGAGCGTTGTCGCGCAGGTTGTAAGCGCTCTGTTGCGAGCGGTGAAGCTCTTGTAGGACCTCTGTGTACGCCAGGGATAAATGACTGACACACTGTGGACCTAGACGAAGATACCTTCTTGGATTTGCACGCCTTCGGGGAGAGAGGATCAGCATGGGCGGCAGACATAGTGGGACGGCATACCGAAGTTGTCACCGCTGAGTTGACGTAAGTCACAACGTTCATGCAAGAGACAGTACATATGACGCACTCTTCGATCCTGAAAAACGTCGTATTGAGCAATGGCTTCGACACGGTATGATAGGACGACTCACTGGGGCATATTCAGATTGACCCACAACTTCACTTTGTCCTAAGACAAAGGGGTCAAGTGGGAGGAAGAAACACTGCAGGGAGTCATACCACATATTCAGCCAATTCTTCGCACTCTTTCTTGAGTATAGCATGAAGTTTGCCGATATGCTGGTTCGTTAGCACGAGATTGGGATACCTGGCGTATTCAGTGTCGTTCGCGGAGACGCCGTTGGAGGCGGAGGTATCTTCGTTGACGCGTTTCCGTTTCTTAGCCTCGTGCTCTTGAGATGTGGAAGGAGTGGGATAGACGGTAGTATCAGTGAAGGTTGCTGCGTGAGACGGATGGAATGGGGATTCCAAGGACGCAGTCGAATCAATGAGTTTCTGAATTTCCCTGAACGTGTGGTTCGATATTCCTGAATATTCTATTAACAACATATACAATGAAAACATACAGTATCTGGAACGCACTGTCAGCGAAATGAAATGAACTCGCGATGTGGGTGGCACGCACTTTATTAGGGAAGGTTTGGAATATAATATCCTCGGCAGCTGCGGTCACCGCGTCTTGATATTCCTGCAGACCATGAACCATAGCAGTTAAATACCAGTTGTCTCTGTCTCACCTTGAGCCGCTTCTCTAGCTGTTTGTCAATTCCTCTCTGTTTTGCGGCCATGGCGTCGTGTCGGAAATGAGGACCACTCGAGTTTGAGATCGGTGGCTTTGGCGAGAAGCGCCGATGCGCGTGCCAATGGTCGCGTGGCCAATTGCCTCCAATTGCCGCCGGGAATCGCTTTGTGGCGACAACTCAAGCTCTAGCTTGCCTTCGCCACAGCCAGCCGAGTACTGAGCGCTGAGCAGACACGGTCAACTCGCAGACACATCGTCACATTCGTATCTCATACGTGTACTTACTCGGAACTGGTGAACGTTCCAGCTTGCTTTTGCCATGTCTGACGAGAACGATGTGGACGTGATCTCTACCATTACTGGTTACGACCTCGACCGTGTCCTGAACGGTTATAACCTACCGTCGACGTCCGCGCTCTCCAGTCAGCTTGGTATCTTGGGTATACCCTCCCTAGATCCTCGTCAAATATATGGAGATAAATGGGACGATGATGTGGTGGGTCCTGACCAAGGCGAAGACTTCGAGGATCAGGTCGACGAGGAGTTAGAGAATGAGGAGGATCAGGCCGACCAAGAGATGGAGAATGAAGAGAGTCCCCGTGAAGCCTCTGTCAAAGTAGAGGACGAACCAACCGAATCCATGCCAAAGAAGGAACGTCGCATCAGAGTGGTTCGGCGTCTCGTGGAACGGCCCAAGTCTGTCTACGAGAGGTTCCCTACGTATGAGAAGGACAAGATCCTGGATTTCACAGAGCTGTTCAAGGGTTACACTGTTCCCAGGTCTAGAGTTTCGAAGAGACCGTTTCAACGTACGTTCTCAGTAATGGTATTGTCACTTGATGGACTAAGAATGCCCAGTTGAACCTGTGTACCCTCGCAAGCGAGATGTACCACGACACTTCCTGCAATCCATAGTGGGTGATGCCGAGCGGCAGGCGGAGAATCAACGAGCAGATGAGGTTATAGCAGCTGGGAACATAGACTTCGATCTCCAGAATGCGCTCGAGGCAAGCATGTCTCATCGATGACCGTTCCTGAAGTCTTACAAAGCTTAGGGTCGTGTTAATACTGAAGCCCCCGTATCTCTATCCTTGCAAGATCGGTCATTCGACCTTGTTTTATTAGCAAACTGGGAGGATCAGATTGTATACGAGCCGGAGGAAGATATGGAGGAATCCGCCATTCATCGTCGGGAGTCACAGGCGGCTTTGACCACGAAAGTAAACAAGTCCCTGGAGTCAGGAGCGTGGACGCAAAGCATTATCTGGAGTCCTCGGGCCCCATTCCGAGACTTCACCCAATTAGAGGTCAATGAGGAAGATGCTGCACCTGAAGAGCGCCCGATAGGTGGGTGTGGCACGCATTGCACCAAACGTATTAGAGCTCACTAATATCATCTAGTAGCCGATCCACGACCTAGGAAACGTTTCAGGTCTGATCAAGTGCCTCGCGATAAGTTCAATCTCTCGAATGACCAATATTACGAGGTCTCCAAAGAGGGCCGAGGTCACCGTGTCAGACAGACCTTCGGACAACTCGTGGTGGAGCATGCTTATCCTGCACAGAAATTGCAACTGCCATTCGTCCGTATCTTTGCCCATTTATCTTCCATGTACTTATGTCTCTCCTTGCAGTACAAGACTCGTTTGTCAAAGCAGGAGGCTCGGTCATGGCATCGGCCTGCGCTGCAGTTTCCTTCCAATGTCGAGATTCACTTCACTAAAGTCCGCTCCGCAAAGAAGAAAAAAGATAAGGCCGGACGGAGCGTGGGTAAAGGTGGAAACGTCAGCGAGGGATTACATAGGACCAGTGATCTAAGCCTGAAGGATACGAGTAACTACGTCTTATGGGAGTTCTCGGTAAGTATCAGCTGCAAGATCTAGAGACGCGCTTTAGGACTGGATTCTTATCTAATCTCTGCTGAATCGTAGGAGGAGCATCCTCCCATCATGTCCAACTTTGGTATGGGAAGCATCCTCGTTAATTACTATCGCAAGAAGGATGAGAAAGATGAACATATACCGAAGGTCAGAATTATACGCCATTGTCTATAGTACCTACTAATGAGACTTTCGTAGTATGATCTGGGTGTCCCCTTCGTCCTAGAACCTCAAGACGAATCGCCGTTCATGAAGTTCGGTTACGTGTATCCTGGAGAAACAGTTCCAGCGCTTTACAACAATCTCATACGGGCTCCTCTGTTCAGGCAGAAGCCGCGTCCTACGGATTTCTTGGTCATTAGGCGAGTATGCTGGATAACCCTCCACACCTGTACACTGAGCTTATCGCATTTTTTCTCCCATCAGGAGCACCATAAGGGGCGAAACGCGATATTATATACGGGAGATGAAGAACCTCTTTGTCGTTGGGCAAACGTATCCCGTGACGGAGGTGCCCGGCCCCCACTCGCGAAAAATCACAAACACGATCAAGCATAGACTGCAGAACATTACATACAAGTTGTTATCGAAAAGTCATGAAGAAAGATTGAAAATATCGAGGCTGATGAAGTACTTCCCTGATCAAAACGAGCTTCAGATGAGACAGCGGCTAAAGGTACCGTGTGCTCTCTTACTCCGAGCGAGGCTAGTCCCTCATAATTTATACAGGAATTCATGGAGTATCACAGACGGGGACCTCATCAAGGCTTCTGGCGTTTGAAAACTGGCTGGCAAGTCCCATCCGAGGCCGATCAGCTTAAGATGGTGACTCCGGAACAAGTCGTTTTGTCTGAAAGCATGCAGGTCGGGCAACGGCATCTGCAAGATCTGGGTTATAGTCAGGCAGCTGAGGCGGAGAACGCAGACGAAGCACATCTCTCCGTCGAGCAGCAGTTAGCTCCGTGGATCACTACGAAGAATTTTTTGTTTGCAACTCAAGCTAAAGCCATGTTAAGGCTGCATGGAGAGGGGGACCCAACCGGAAGGGGAGAAGCCTTCAGTTTCATCCGGGTTTCAATGAAGGACATCTTTGTCAAGGCCGGTGAAGACTATGAACAAAAGCTTGGTGCGTTCCCACTTGCTAGTTCAATATGATTACGGCTGACCGCCTGTATGTTAGCGGAAGCGGAGGCACGCCCTAAATCCGCCCACAGATATAATGTGGCCGAACAGCAACTGATCTATAAGTCTGAGATTGAGCGGATATGGAGAGCACAGCACGACTCACTTAGTCGTCGCGACGAGCCGCAGCTGACCGATGAAGATGAAAAGCGCGAGGCGTCGCAGAAACCGCAGGAGCAATCCTTACAGCGGAGAGCTCTCGATCAGCAGTACCCAGGCATGTCAGCCGTGTCCCCCAAACAAGCCGGACCGTCTGCGGCCCCCTCGCCAGCATACAGCCGTGGGTCATCTGTGGATAGAGATCGAGAAATGAGCTACGGACCTGAAGGCGCGAAGCGGGTACTACGTATCAAACGTTTGGTAGGTCTTCACTGACACTTGGACCCAATGTTGTCTCACATCAAACAGGTGGATGGACATTGGCAAACAGAAATCGTCCGGGACCCGGCAGTAATCAGTGCCTATGTCCGCAGGCGGCAGATTATTGAAGAGGAGACTACCTTAGCCGACGCTCTTGCACCGACCGGTGATGCGGAAAAAGATGCAAGAGCTAAGAAGAGGTGCGTCCTCGTGTCGATTATGCTATTCACTGTCGCTGACTTCACATGCAATTAGGCTTGAGGAAGAGATCATGCGGATGAAGAAAAATCAAGAGCGGCGACTTCATCGGAAAAATGCGAAGATTGCGAAAGAAGGAGGTACGCCATTGCTGCTCAATAGGCCTGTCAAGCCAGATACGACGGTTTGTTTCCGCACACTTCGGACGATGAACCTTGTTGACGGTATCTATCTCAGAGACGCTGCGGTCATTGCGGTCAAATGGGTCATATGAGTAAGTGCACTGTGCTACTCAGCAGAAATCCACCCCTTAACTCCGCGACAGAAACCAACAGGAAGTGCCCTCGCTGGGCCGAGTTTAACTCTGGGGCTCCTCCTGCGACCCCTTCGGCGACTAGTCCCCCTGCCGGCTCCCCTCCTACCCCTAGTCTTGGCAACCTAGGGTTCAGCAAGAGCTCAGACTCCGTGTTCTCACCCACATTAGGTCCGTCGTCTCGTCCCGGGACTTCCTTCGGATTCCCAGTCGCCGTACCTTCACCACTTGCTACGAGCCCACCGCTGTCCGCGGTGAATGACTCTGACCTTCCACCCCCGACGACTGGGGGAGGGTCTGCACCAAAAATAAAACTGACCCTCAAGAAGACGTGACGTCCGGACTTCCATTACGTCTGATCATTGCTTTGATTCTGTAGCTTACAACATTGAACGATAAGACTGATGTAGCATAGCTAATATGGAATATTTAGTGTACATTATATTGCGAATGGCAAAGATAACAGCAACACAAGAATAACGAGTCAGCGACCGCTCAATAAGTTAGGCAGATGTCATCTCAACGTCCCTAGTAGACCGGGTGGCGATCCTATCGTAGTCTGTAGTCGAAGCAGAAGTCCGCTGCAGCTTTGACGTATCGAAACGCTTCTTGAAGTCGGCGTTGATAACGAGCAAAAGGTTCCGGATGAGCTCAGCGTGTCTTCGACGTTGTTCAGGAGTGATATCTTTAGAACTGCTCTCAAGTCGTATCCGGCCAATCTCCCGGGATAGTCTTTCGTCGAGCTCGGCGGAACGACTAGCCGATACGCCCGAGGCGATCGAATGAATGCCCGGCAAGGTGCGCGGCTGTTGAACAGGCGATGAATGGCCCGAGCTTGGCGTCGAGTCTCTCGGCGGGGGAGAACGAGGAGATGAATCGGGAGAGGGTGTGTCGCGGTACATGCGGTTGAGGGGCGGGAGTTTATATTTGCTGTCCCCTTCTTGAAGCAGAGGGTATAGCTTGGACGAGGGAGAAGACGACAACGACGAGGCCGTGAGTTTGGCGGGGGGACCGCGATGAACGGTCTTCGGTAACTTGGGCTCCATGGGCTCCGGCGGAGCCAAAGGCGGCCGGCCGTCATTCTGTAAGGGAATGATAGTCTGTCTGGAGGCCGTGCCGTAGTCCGCCTGCGAGAGACGAGGCACCAGGGGAGGCACGCGAGGAGCGCGTAGGCCCTCGTAGAAGATCGAGTTCTCAATAGATGATGGCATATGCGGAGGCGTAGACGAAGATGGCGTCGATGACAGGGAATGCGGCGAGTCGAGTTCGGCGGGCGACGCATTGATCTGCACGTATGGATTGCTTGAGTAACTCGAGATAGACCGTCGGGTGAGCGGGGGAGGCGCAGCGAACTCATCGGAAGGTGAATACGTAAGTGGCGCGTGCTGGACGTCCGAGTACAGTGATCCGTAGACCGTAGGTTGCACAGACGGGTGATTCGACCGCAGACCAGACGTGCTTGGATACGGCACAGACGAATACTGATGGTTGTTGTTGCTGCCTGCGGACGAGTACCCGTGTTCACCCGGATACGTAGCACCAGAGCCAGGCACGCCGGGCATACCTGCAAGACCCATTTCACTTAGACTTGCGGCATCGAACATTGAGTGCGTAGAGTAGTTACAAGCTTGCTGGCGATGCTGCATTTGCTGCTGCTGCTGCTGCTGCTGGCGCGGCACGGCACCCGCAGCGACATCGCGGCCGAGGGTAACGAGGAAGTCATTGACGGCAGCAAGTTCTTCGGGCGTCCGTATGTCAAAAGAGACGGAGCGAGGATTAAAATTATTCTGGTCGTGATGACCCAACCCCTGCGAATATGCGAGGCGATTGAGCCTATCGGCCATGTCTGACATTCGTCCAGATTAGCCTTAGTGCGTGAACTTTCAATGCACAAGACGGTGCGTACCAGGGTCATACGAAGGCGCAACACGCCGTTTCTTCATGTCAGTGAAGAAGTCCTCCATGGAATGGTCATATGATCTCTTGGCACCCGCACCCGCAGGCGCGGTCGTGCCGTCAGGCCTAAGGACCTCCCAGGTGGGCAGCTGGCTTTGCGGAAGCAATTCATGCGCCGATTGCGCGCCATAGTTGGACGCGATGTGTACTTGAGAAGGCAACATCTCAGGGGATGGCGTAGTTAGAGGGCCCCGACTCGACCCTGCGAGGGTAGATTAGCGGAGCGTACTTTGATGTCCGAAGACAGGCGGAATCTTACCGGAACCACTGATCGCAGTAGAATCAGACCCGGCTCGGGGAACATGGTTGCCGTTCTGATAGTGAGGTTGACGCTGGGAGAGACCGTACGGATTAGGCTTCGATATGTCACCCCGGACCCTTTGGCTGTACGACGGGTCAGCGACCGTAACTGCCTTCGAATGCTTGTGCTGGGCATGATGCTCTTCGGTGTGTATCTTCTCGTGCTTCTTCAGGTCCTGTGGTCTCTTGAATGATTTTTTGCAGATCTTTGTACCGATCAATAATTGAGCGCAAGGAGATAGAACGGAGATGTAACCCACCTCGCACGTGTGGGGCTTCAGCGGGGTGTGGACTAAGAACTGGTGTGAACTGGGCGCCGCAAAAATGAATGGAACAGAGCACACCTCGGACGTGGCTGGTGATATGGTCTCTCTTCGAGCAGGTGGTACCGCAATCCTTCCACTTGCACGTCAGGCAGAGATTGTTTGTGCTCTTGCGGCCGATGTGGTCGTTGCAGAGATGGTTGTACAAAGCCTCTGGGTCCGACATGACCTTGCCACACTCCTGCCAAAGACACCGGTGCCCCTCTGCCTCCTGAGCCTTGCTGTCCTCGATCCGCTGGGCATAGCCTGCGCCTTCGGACGAGCTGTGGCCATTGGATGGGGGAGACGCAGAGCGCTCTGCGTTGGAGGACGGCGGGGTGAGCGGCGGGCCCATGTTGCTGTAGGCGAGGCGGAGGGCAGACTCGAGATCGTGCAGCGGAACAAGCGATACTGGCAGGAGAGGCTCCGCCATCGCAGGGCGGTTTAAATAAGAAAGGCGCGATCTCTGGCTTGGCCTTGGCGCTGGGCAGACCAAGACGGGCACCCCGGACACTGTCCGCGTTTATCAACGCTGCCCTGCGCTCTCCCGTCCGCTCGCATCTCCTCCCGAAATTCGACCGCTCTTACTCTTGATGCTGCATTATTTATGGAACTCTCTCATTGCCCTGAGTATTCGCCGTATGCTGCTGGCCAGAAATACCACGACGCAGATACATCGTCTGCGCAGCAATGACTGCGCCCCGACGGCACTTGGGCTGCCGCGGGACAAGCCCGACAAGTACAGCTTCCGAAAGCAGGCTTGGACTGGTGCATCCGGGGTCTTGCAGGGCCTTGCAGTGCTGCCAAGCCTTGCCTGGACTTGGCTCTCAAAATGCCAAGCTGCTCGATTGCTGCTCGAACGGGACCTTTACCGTTACGTAATTTCTGTGGTTCTCCCGCGATGATCTCAGGAATCTGCATTCCTCTCGAATGAAAGAAATGATTTTGCTGCAGAATCACAACTAAACGCATATCATTTGAAGCGTACATGCCCAGCGTTGAGCTAGCTTGGATATCTGGCTGTTATTGCTACGACTGCTGCAAAGCAGCTGTGATACGATAGCCAGCGGCGTGCTGCACTGCGGAGCCGTATGATCACCGGGCCTCGTTGGTTTCTTCTTGGCGTATGTGATTGGGCAATGCTGCCAAGTATGCAAGTTCGCAAGTTCGGCTTTCCGCAGGTGCTCTGCTCTAGTGCGAGCGTGCGTCTTATCATCAGCCTCTTGACCGTGCTACGCCGGAAGACTCAGCATACACAGTAGAAGCCCAGTTCGGGTGTCATGGAGAGATCTTGCCACGATGCTGAGAGATTCAAGACTAAATAAAGAAATCCTATACGAGCTTACCGGCGCCCAAAGCGCCTTGATTGTTATGTGAGAGTCGCCTCGCGCTCGTCCAGTTTGTAATACCTTCTGCGGACCAGATATGAACTTCGGCCGGCCGCATTTACATAACCGTACGGAATAACATGTAGCCTATCCAGCGAATATGACGGCGCCGGGCGGAGGGTTACTCGCAACTTGGAATCATGGCGTGGGCTGTATAATAATACAGGGGAGCCACACAATGGCGGAGGAATCATCATTCACGAGGAAAATTAGAGTATCAAGGAACCCCATTTTCTATCTAGACAATCGCCCTCTCTCGGCCATCAGGCCGCTCGGACGTTTCGTAAATTCTGTAGAGTGCTTGAGGTTACGGGATTCTGCCAACGCCGTTGCTCCGCACCCGCTTCTATGTTAGGAGGTGGCAGGTCCCATTGCCACCTGCTACACTGCAGCTTAAACTCGCATAAGCTAGATGTACCGTTACAGACAAGTCCCACCGGCCAGGAGATCTGTATGTTCTTCTGTCTCCGCCATATGGTACAATTCAATGGAAGCCGGCGTGCTCGCCTCTGCTGAAAGTTCCGTACTTCGTCGGCTGTTAACATGACGTCGGAATTCTGCACTGAATACATTCAACGGGTTCAATTTGAGGAGTTCTGTGAAGGGGGATAATATCCACCGAAAGGATCAATACGGACAGAGCGCAAGGATCCTCAACACACCGGATGACCATATTATCCGAGACACCCAGGTAGGTGCAATGGGTGGACCCCCCCTGGCTGCGGCTCTGATGAGCGAAGCTAGAGGGGCCGCCCGTTACATACGGAAGACTCACGCCGACAGCAAGACGTTCACCGGTGGAGCAGACTGCAGCATCTTCCTCCCCGGGCTCCAGCGGACGAGAAGAGAAGAGCTTGTACGCCAATGCCGTCGCGACATGTGATAGATGTGATATCGTGGTAGTTCCTGGTCTTATTCTATTACAGTGTCAGAGCCCTCCAGCCGCGGGGTCAGAGCTGATAGGAGTGAAAAGGGGAAATAAACTCACCGCTAGAATAATTCACAAGCGGTCTATCTCTATTCAGATGCTTTCATGCGTTTAGATGGCGTAATTCATATGGCACGGACCAGATAACCCGCCATGGTGTAATAGAATGTCCGAATCGACGGGAAGGAACACTGCGAGGTAGAGCCTGGCGTCGATAATTATAGTGCACATCGGCTGGAGTCAGGCAATTCCCATGTACGATCAGGAAACTGAATGCCCCACCTGGAATACAGTGAAGTAGGGGTACAAAATATCCCACGTCAAACGAACCTAGCCAATGCGACATAACGCATCTCTGAGTGCGCCCTTCCCTGGATCCACAAGAAGCGGCGCCGGTTGGACGAAGCCATAACTCATGATGGCTATCGGATAGCCAGAGACATGGGCCTTCACAGAATCAGAAAACAATGGCATATAGGGAGAGCTAGGTATTGTCAAATGCAGCACTAGTACCGTTGGACGGGTAACCTGTAAATTCGCAGACGCCGTGTCATGCGGCCCGCGCGGTAGGCCGCATAATCCGAGCTCGTCTGTAACAGGTGAGAGCTGTGCAATAGGGGAATGATCACTTTCGACCATCCCGCCTCGCGGATACGATGCTATGCACGCAGGCGTAGCACTGCTCGTTTTGGCAGCACTGCCGTGCTTGGCGAAGAACGCGTATAGCCAAGGGCAAGACGTGCCCAGCATCTTCGCGTCCCGACGCTGCGGGCCCGGACGCTTTTCGAACTACTGGGGGGCGTTACGACACTCGAGCGCGAAGAAAGGCCGGACTCTTAAATCGGCGCGTCCACTCTGTCCTGAGAATATTCGTTTCTTTCTTCACCGGGCGACGGATGCCCTTGTCCGCTGCACCGAACTGATGGACTCGCACGCAATCGACGTAAAGCGCACGATCAACGGACGTGCAAGCTTGTATGAATAGATCCGTTCCTACCTTTCTTTCGAGAGAAGATTCCTGGAGCAGACTGTATATAACAGAAATGCGTACTAATAAAAGAACCAGTTATTCTTTCCCTACATGCTTCCTTTGATGAGCACGAAAAACTCACCGATGAAGGATCATCAAGAAGCAGCGATTTCTAACCGTGGTGATTCTAGAGACAAATCAAATCGCTCCAGGACTCGGGAATGCAAGGACTAGTCGCTGATGACGAACCGCTACCTGTAAGAGACTACACCACTGATATTGACGATATCTGCATCTTTCACTTATTCCGCTGGCTTTACGCTTTTCATGCCTTATTAGGCAGGTGGGGCTCGGCGGTTCCCGGGTATTCCCACGCCTCGCGCGACGCGTCGACGCGTCGCCTGTCCCGCTCGTTCCCCGGCGGCTGCACCTCCCCGGGGGTGTTTTTGCTCTCCTGCAGTAGATAGAAGTTGATGTATATTACCAAAATGCGTGTAACTATGGATAATGTACTCAAAAAGTCGCTCTATGTAGTCCGTTTAGCCCCCAAGAGCCGGGGAGGCCTGCTGCAAGCGGAAAAGCACTCATATTTACCGCATAAGTGCTCGAAAGCGCGGCATAAACAGCGTAAAGCATTTATTTCGGTGGATTTACGCCGATTTACATGATTTACGGCCACGTGATGCATGGATTTACGGGCACGTCACGCCCTCCGTACAATCACATCAAGCCGCCGCCGCTTCGCGCGGCGTTCCCGAGCGCTTCTCCCCATCAAACCCCGAGAGCTTTGGCGCCC